CACTTTACATAGGTTTCAAAATGAGAAATTAAATGAAATCATAGAGGTGAGCTTTGAAGGTCTCTGATATGAGTCAAACAAATGTCTCAAGACCTTAATAGTTCCAGTCATGTATTAGTTGAAGCAGGTTTCAAGAGACAAACATGTTTGCATAGAAATAATGTGTAAAAGTTTTACTTGCTCTTAAACCAGACTATAAAAGTGAGGCGGTGACATTCACTGGGAAACTGTCTGGATGAGGACGCACATGAACGTGTCCTGTTCACAAAAACACCAGATCTCAAACAAACAGACACAGATTGATTGAGACAGATTGATTTCTATTATTGTGTTCTGTGCTCAGCCTAAAACAAGCTTACTAGATGCAGATACCATTATTTAGAAAAGTACAAAAAAGAAAGTGTACAAGTAAAAAAGAAAGAAAGAAAGAAGAAACCAGACCAGCAGCTTCAATAGCAAATAAACCACCCTGATGTTTTTTCTCCAACTTATAAGCATTAACATGAAACATCATCAGAGCTCCAGCAGTTCTGGGTTTAGAGCACATCGATCATTTGAACTCATCGTAATAAGAGCAAAGTGTGATTCATTCACACATTTCACTGAGACATGATGAGAATCAGAGAATCAGAGAATCAGAGCTGCACTCTACTGTACCAGACTGTGTCCACTGCGCCATCTATCGACCACAGGCGAGTAACGCAACAACACGAAAGAGCACAAACAAACATGGCGACGTCCGTGAGCAGCAGCGTGTCCTCTGAGTCCCTGTGAACAAAACGTTTAGTCTGACTGGACTCATCAGAGGAGGAGCACGTGAGTAACAACGTGAACTTTACTGTCAACGCGTGGTTGTGTCGCTGGAAGCAGCAGAGACGACAACATCAGCAGCAGCGAGCTGGCACTGCGCCGCCATGTCTCTACATGTTGAGTTGTAGAGATCAGCTCCGCCGACACCATGAACACACCTCGTTTCACCTCGTTAGAAAGACTCGGTGTTGTTGAACACTTCTAGGATTGTACCTGCCTCACTGCAGCCTCCGCTCTCTGCAGGCACGCTCATGTCTCCAGGCTCCAGACTGGCGGTGGTGTGTGGAGGCTCCAGGGGGATTGGGAGAGCCGTGTCCCGCCTGCTGGCACAGAGCGGCTGCAGGGTGGCTGTGGTCTCCAGGGACCAGGACGCTGCCCGGGCCACCGTGGCGTCTCTACACGGAGGTATAGTAGGCCACAACTGTAGCACACATCAACATGCACAGTCACAACATGTGAACCTCATGCAACAAAACCAAACTGCACAGTGGCTTTAAAGTGCTAATAAAAGCAAAACAGCTCATTTCCCTATTGCGGGGCTAATAAGGGATTATCTCACTTTATCTCAATCACTGACACAACTAAGCAAACTAGAATTACAAAACCCACAGGGACCATTGAACACTTATCAGTCCATCTTTGACAACGGGTCAAATTTTAATGAAATTCCCTAAAGACTGACTTTAGATATAATGTTCAAGAAGCCAATCACATGTTTTGTGAAGCCACAGGTTCACCTGAGGCGTTCTTAAAATAACACATTTACAAGGCACATCATGTTTTTGAGCTTTTACCACCCACATTTATATCAGGTCATCCTGGAGTCACTGTGAATGTTTGTGCCAAATGTAATGAAATTCCCTTCGGTCATTTTGTTCCTGGTGTATCATATTCACAAATAGTGAGATCACCATGACCTTTGACCTGCTGCTGCTAAAATTCAATGAGTTCATCTTTGAGTCCAAGTGAACGTTTGTACTAAATTTGAAGAATTTCCCTCAACTGAATGTTTTTGTCACGTTCACACCAGGGAGATGCTCATACGTTCGTACAGACAGACAACCCCAAAACATCCACTGCTGAGCCAAACAAACACAATGACATAAACTTCTATCAGAGACAAGCTGTGTCTGCTGCTGACGGGGGTCGTTACAGTGTTCTTTCATATCTTGTTGTGTTCTTTGTTTTGTTGTTGTGTTTTCCTATTTGATGTTGTGATTTACACTGTAACACTGATCTGTCTCTGATCAACAACGCACAGTACCTGAACACGTGCTGATCTGTGTACGAACAGACTGTAGGCCTCTAACATACGCACACACTCTTGTGTCTCTGCTCTCCAGATGACCACGTGGCTTTTAGCTGTGATGTCTCCAAAGAGCAGGAGGTGCAGAAAACATTTGACACAATCCAGAAAACCAGTGGAAACATCTGTTACCTCGTGAACGCAGCTGGAATCAACAGGTGAGCAGACACTGGGACGGTGGATCTGCTCTCACCTCACTGGTTTCCAGACACGATAAAATTCACTGTTGACCTGTGTCCATTCAGGGACGCTCTGTTGCTGAGAACCAAGCCGGAGGACATGCTGGCTCTGCTTCACACCAACTTGTTGGGCACCATGCTGACCTGCAGGGCGGCTCTGCGCAGCATGCTGCACACACAGGGAGCGGCCATCGTTAACATAGGTATTGACCACTCTGAGTGCAGCAGTAGTTTGGATTCAGTTCTTCAGTTTGGCCATTGGGTGGCAGTGTAGATCACGTTGTATAGATTCACTTCCTTTTAGAATTGTCACTTTAGAGGAGCATACTGGCATTTTTGAACATTTGAGCACATTTACTACAAACTCACTGGTTTTTAAGACTCATACGTGAAACAATAAATCTCTGTTATATCAAAGAAAATGCTAAAGAACATTCATTTTACATTGTATGTTAAAGAAAATCAAACCAGATGACAGATGACATGAACGAATAATGTAAACTAAGGTTCACACATGAGTTTCACTGCAAAAGGTTTTTATCTTCAGTTTCAAATCTCCTTCGATACAAAACACTCTTAAAATCTTTTAAGCACAATGATGTCAAATAATAACTTCCTAAGTATTTTATTTTAAATCATTTCTGTCATACCTCTTAGTGATTTCTGTTTCCTGTTTGCAGGCTCTGTAGTGGGCCTGAAAGGAAATGTTGGTCAGTGTGTGTACAGTGCCAGTAAAGCTGGTCTGGAGGGTTTCACACGATCTTTAGCAAAAGAAGTTGCTTCACGTAATATCAGGGTGAATCTGCTGGCTCCAGGTACAGTACAGCTCCATCTAATGTCACCTTTCCTCTCGCACCCACACTATTATTATGTTTTCATGTTCATGTCCTCTCTTATGTCCAGGTTTCATTCGCACCGCCATGACCGCAGGGCTGAGAGAGGAGGATGGGGTGCGTTCTGTTCCACTGGGGAGATTTGGCGAGCCGGAGGAGGTAGCCCCGGCTGTTCTCTTCCTCTTGAAAAGCTCCTACATAACAGGACAGGTGCTGGTGGTGGACGGAGGGCTGCAGTTGACCATGTAGGGAGCAGGGCCTTACCTCACCTTTCCAAATAGTGACATCTTTTTGAAGGTTATATGACATAAACACTGAGGAAGTGGCTCAGGAACAGATGAAGTCACTGTGGACCTGTGGATCTGACCTCAGAAGGGAACGTTTGCACTTCAGACGACATCATGGTGGAGGCTGGGTGTTGCTCTTACTCTGAAACTTTGCCAAACTGCCTAAAGAGGTTGCAGAAGTTTTGAAAAGGCATTTGTGAAACATCTGCCAGAGGACATCTCACTGTAGAGTCACTGTGTCCACCCTGAGGGGGCGTGGCCTCATGTGTGTGACAGTCGACCTTCGTGACTAATGTTGCCGACTCCGGAGTGTCTGACCCGGTCCAGACCTCGGTTCCCCGAGGCCCTAGATTTGATCAGCAGAATTAATGCTCTTGGTCTTTTTCCATGACTGTAACGCTCCCTGCCGCTGATGTTTTGTTCCCCCCACCTCCTCCAGGAAACCCCCTCACAGCCGGCAAATGTTGCCCCCCCCCGAGCCCACCTCTGCAGGGGCCTGTGGAGGGGCCAGGCGTGTGGGGCTGCAGCTGGAGGAAATTAAGAGGTGGTTGGGGTATTTTTAGCTCGGGGAACATTGTGAGTGTCTGGTTACAGCTCTGGTCCTGTGGTGTGGATGGATGAGGTTGGAGGTGATTGTCGTGCTCAGTGATGAGGTTTGAAATGTTGTGCTGCTTGTTACTTTCATTGAAACCTGCTGTTCCTTGACCTTAAGTGTCAAAGCCACCTCTAAATGAGCTTTTACGATGGTGCTCTCCCAAGTGTATCCTAAACATATGTTCTATTAAAGGACGAGATTAGAATATTTTCTGATCAGCCTTCTGTGCAAGAATGTTTTTCCCACTCTGACTGTGTTCTTTGGCGTTCTCTGGCAGTCTAGAAAAACATCTCACGCTGTCTGGAGAGATTTTTTTATTAACTTTCATAACCTAAAATAATATCAGGAGAACAATCCATATACAGGCATTGATTGGCATAGAAATGTGCAAACACAGTCAGCTGATGTTCGCTCCGAACAGACACAGAAGAAGATGTCCACTTTGTATATTGTTACAGAGGTGACAAAAATAGTAGATATAAATATACCTTGCTTTTTACTTTTCACCAGCTTAAGAGCATTCGTTACCCTCCTCATAGTGTGAAAAAAAGCTATTTTGTACATTCTGGTACAAGTTGTTTGGCACTGTACAAGTGTCCAAAAATAACATGCAAAGAAATTGTGTTTGCATTAAGCCTAAACGTGATTTAAGGCAGTGATATATATATTTATAAAACTTAATGATAAAGAAAGCCTTGTTTCATCAGTGAACAAAGAGTTGCTGATATAATTTATGTTGTTGGGAAAGTAAGTAATTTTTTTTCCATACAAAAATAAAATTGAAAATCTGTGATGTGTGACAAATAAACCTTTCACAGCACCCTCGCTCAAGTGAGAACATTTCGATGCACACTTGTAAAATAAACCACCAAAGAAGAAGAAAATGAAAACATGATCTGCCATCACCAAAAAGTTATTTTATATGTTTCTTAAACGTAACTGTCTTGACCTCTGCCACCGTCATTCACATCCCACCCACCACATTAAAGTGTCTCTTTAAACAAAATGCATTTTTCAACCTTGTCATCCTCATGTCACCTAAGTTCACCTGCACCCACAAACAAACAAATCTCATCCACAGTAACACTTTCTTTTCTCGACACCGTGTTTCTTTTGCTAAAAAAAGAAAAAACTAAACATGCTGTTTATAAGGCCCGGCCTTTTCCAATGTCTGTAAGCTCATCTATGACCCGACAACACTGAGATCATCAGAGGCTGCAGATATCAACACTGTGCTGCACAAGCCCACGTAATAAAAGATCTCCTTCGTCAAAGCTAAGGTGCTTTGAATCCCTCATCCTCCTCTACACAGAGATACAGTATTATTACTCTGTGTATTGGCACCACTTCAACATGCATATTAAATCTACTTTTCATTTTTAAACCTGTTTCATTTTTAATGTTTACAGAAATGAGAGGCACTTCAACAGGAGACCCTTTGCAGAGTCGACCGTACAGTTCATGAGAGAAAATATTTTTGTCTCCTCTCGTGGTAAAACACTTCAATCATTCTCCAGGTCCGGTTGATAAAATGAAGCATGGGGGGGGGGGCCTAGATGAATTCTGTAACATAACGAGTTGTGTCATATTATAAAAACAGAAGAAAAACTGCCGCTGCACCAGATCACTCTGCCCACTGACCCTCTGAAGTTCTGTGCCTGCATCTCGCCATCGTAAAGTATCTGTTTCTGGAGTGCTGGGAGCGAGGGCAGTTTTCAAGGGGGGTTCTCGGGGTAACGTCACGATCCTCGCAGCCGGCCTGTGGTCCTCTACAGGTCGTCGCTTTCCACCAGGCCACCGGGCGGCAGCGGGCTGGAGTCGGGGAAGAAGGCAGCCTTCACGTCCAGGCCTCTCTCCGTCAGTGCGGCGTATCGGCTGGTGGAGGGACGCACCTTCTTGGGCTTGGGGAGGTTGGGCTGCTGCCACTGAGCTGAGGAGAAGAGGTTCAAAATGTTGACTGTAGAAAGGAAACCAAAACACTTTGATGAACCGTGGGAGTTTATGTGTCGACACTTACTGTGGATGTCGAGGCGTGCAGTGCTGGAGACGATGCCTGCGTCATTCTTGGCTGACACAGTGTACCAGCCAGCGTCCTCTTTCATGGCAGGCTGGATGATCATGCACAGGTAGCCACAGTTGTCCTGGTGCATGCTGGGAAAGAAAACGGACACAAATTAATATGTTCAAGTGACAAGTCACAAGTGACAGTCCCAGGATCAGCTGAGTCAAGCATCAGAAAGTATGAGAAGTCCAGTTTTACCTGATTCTGTCTGTGTTGTGAGTGAAAGACTCGTTCTCCCTTTTCCAGAAGATCTGTGGGTAGGGAACCCCCGTGACACGACACTCCAGTCGTACAGGATGACCGTCAGCCACGCTGGTGTTCTGCAGCTTCTCCACAAATGAAGGCGCTTTGTGCATCTCTTTGGCTGTGGAGAGAGAGTCTGTTACTGAGGAGCTTTCTTAATCCACATCACACCATCATGCATCTTCTGCACACATCACCATGCTGTCATACTGGGTCTTCTTCTGTTTACCTGCCACAATGAGTTCCAGGTTAAAGGAGTTTTGCCCGGCGCGGTTGCTGGCGATACAGGTGTAGATGCCAGCGTCACGGCTGGTCACAGGCTCAATGACCAATGAGTGCACTCCGTTTTCCCTCACCAGCATCTTATGGGCGGAATCTGGGCGGATGGTCTGTCCATTCAGCTGCCAGATGAGGTCGGGGGTGGGCAGGCCGCTCACCTACAGGTGGCAAAGCAAACACAGCCAACATTAAAAAACAATTCACTGTACACGTGAGCGTTTGTCGTGCAGATGCTTTGAGTTTGTGCAGTCGCTGCTTGTTTGTGTTGGAGTATATTAGCTGCATGTGTTCTGTGGGGGCGGTGTGTGTTTATTGTGAGTATGAAAACAGCAGTGTTTGGTTAATCTGTCTGTCTGTGCTGGGTTGTCTGGAGGAGCTGACCGCTGGTGCGCTCTGTCGTGGGAATCAACCGTGCTGAGAAAAGACCTGCCTCTGGAGAAAAACCCAACACCTGCAGCTGCTCCACCCACCTGGAGGCATGTCCACCATGGAGATATATATATATATATGTATATATATTCACAGACGTCACAACGGAGAGCAGAGTGGTGTGGTTGTCGTAAGTATTTCTGTAAATGACCCAATGCACTTTTAGAAGTTGGGATATTTTGAGCATGGAAAGTTTGGAGAGCCAGAACTGATGATCTGGAAATAAATATTTGCTATAAATATCCTTGACATTAAGAAAAAGGAACGGAGGTTTATTTCTAACCAGTATAAAAACATGGGCTTTTTATAGTGGGTTGATTGTGGGCCTGTTTTATTTTACTGCATGAACCAGAACTCTGAAGAGTTTCTGCAGTAAGTGCTGCCGGCTGCTGGGAGGCAGTGGACGCAAATTTGAGTTGGTGGGAGCAGTGCAGGGGGAAAATAATTAAAGAAAGTCTGAACCCACTTAATCCTTGAAAGACAACACCTCTGTATTTTTCCCTGTCTGCTCGAAGCGATCGTAACACCAGGAAGTGATGAATCTAGTCTATGCTGTCATTCCCTAAAGAAAGTGGAATGCACAGAAGGGGAAATGTTTTGGAAACGGAACCTCTCTGAAAGCGACGCAGACGCTGAATTAAAGGGCGGACCTGAATGGCTTTCTCTATGACTATGATTATCATCTTCTCTTTGGTGAGGGCATTTTCATCTGCGGTCAGATGCTGATTCTTTCCTTCATCAAAGAACAGTAGCATGACTTGAGCCCGAAACGACATAAAGCAGACGTTTGTTATCTGATTGGATCTTAATCCCAGGAGGTAACCAGGCAGCAGGTTAAAGTCAAAATGGCAGATTCAGACACAAGTTGTCCGCAAAGGAAATAAACTGTGGTTGTGTATAAACACGTCTCCTCCACATTAAAGTTCATTGCCTGAAATGAAGCCCTAGAAAACACAGTGTATAATTTTGTCTTTTCTGCTTTTAAGTTTTAAGAATGGCCTTAAGCACGCAGCACTGTCTCAAAGCCAAAAAAGATTTTCTTAGCGTGCATCGAAAAAACTCCATGTTTCTCCCGCAGTGATCAATAAATCATGCCAATCAATAAATAACTGTAGCATCTGTTTTATATGGAAAGTTGACAGGGCAACACATTGCTGTACTCGTGTATGTATTTCACCTTGCAGTCCATCCGGCACAGTCTGCCCTCCTGAACGATGAGGTCACCGGGCGCCTGCAGGAAGTGGGGGCGGAAGTGACGCTCTTGGATGTTGTCGTTCTCATCGCCGCTGTCTCTGGACCTGGACCTGGGCCTGATGGTGAGAGGGAAATACAAAGTGTTTGAGATTAGAAATAATTAGAAATCGGCTCAGGAGGTAGAGAGGGCTGTCCACTAACCAGAGGGTCAGTGGTTTGATCCCTTCAGACTACATTCCTAAGTGTCCTTGGGCAAGATAGTGATCTTTAAATTGCCCCTGACGGCTCTGCTGACACTGTATGAATGTTGTGTGATAGAATGTGATTGTACTGTAAACTGCATTGTGGTTGATGAGACTAGAGAAGCGCCCTATAAATACAGTTGATTTTCAGTTTCAAAGAAGGTAGTATTTGTTTTAGAGACGCAACAATTACTCCATTTAGAGCATGAATCTCAATGTTTTTATGGAATAGAAACAGTGCATTACTCCTTTAAATATTAAAACCCTCCACATTCACTTTGATATTTCTCATTTCACAGACATAATAGGAAATTAATTCCTTAATTCCTGCTCTGCCATTCGTCCTTCAGCTTGTACAGTCATGTCAGGACCCAGGAGTGTTTCTACCCTCCATTCTAACCTACAACAACAATGACATCACCACCGTGGCTGAAGGTCAACCAGGGAGGGAAATAAAGTGAGCAGGAGACACTGATCATTATCTCGATCTCTGAGCTCTTGTCTGAGCTGGGAGTGTTCGTGTAGATAACAGATGACAGGTGGGATTTTAATGTTCAGTGATCTCCTGTGCATTTTTCAATATCTTGGGCGTGGGTGATTGGGTTTGATATATACAAGGTTATTAGAGCGGTGCAAAGCAAACAGGTGTTCCCTCTCATGAACACAGAGCTTCTCTCTCCTGACCCGACACTTCAACAAAGAAATGAGTGAGCTCACAGCAAACATTTGTGTACACGGCAGCTTCTAAACAACATCTCACATTAGTCGCACACTTTTAAATATGTGTGTGAGTACAGGAGTCACGCAGATGTTGAGCAGCTCTGCAGCACATGTGCCAGCCAGCAGCTCAATGTTACCATTAAAACACAGAGACATTTTGTTTGTCGTCTCCCTCCCCTCTCCACTCAGTCACCGAGGCCTCACCTGCGCATGTGTCCCGGTGCCGAGCGTTGGCTGCGGCCTCTCTGGTTCACTGCCTGCACCATCATCCTGCCGGTGCAGCTCACCCTGCCCTGTGAGGAGGAGAGACACACAGAGGGAGAGAGAGAGAGCGGGGGTTATGAGGTGTTGGCACTCCACCACACCACAACATGCAGTCACTGGGAGGTTAAATAAAATGCTTGTCAGAGTTGGAAGAGGCCGTCAGACAGACTGTAATAAACTTTTGACCCTCATCAGGGTTGTGGTGATTTCCTGTCTCATTCATCGCCCTCTTCCTCTTCAGGCCAGGGGCCGTTATCTTAATACTCATTATTCTCTCGCTAATGAGCGCTGACATCTCGTACAGGCAGCCAAACAGAACTTTCACTCTTATTTCATGTTGTGTTTTCTGTTCCTTTCCCCAGAGCCTGTATCCGTCTGCTCACCTCAGGGTTGCCTGCCATGATGGTGTAGTTGCCGTCATCATCCAGTGAGGCTGCGGCTGTGTGCAAGGAGCATGTTCCATCAGGCTCACGGCTGATCCTGTAGTGCTCGCTCCTCTTGGAGATCTGCTTGCCATCTTTGAACCAGTAGACCTGTGGAAGATAAAAAAAAGCCTTAAGATGTTGCCAGAAATGTTTTTTTCCATATGGGGGGGCACCATACAGAGACAAACAACTATTTACATCTATGGACAATTAACCTAACCCCAATCGGAAGCCAGAGTACATGCAGATCACCACCATGCTGCCCAGTATAACATTTAATTTGAAACCATTTTTAAATCTAATATTTAAATTGTTTTCCATGCGGTGGTCTCTCCATCTTTCACTGTTATCTTTGTGCTTCACTTTTATTCCCTCAGTTCATTCTGAGGCCTGTCAGCACTAATCATTACCGTGGACAGAGCCAGGCAGGCAGCCCAGGCCAGTGTGTTGTTGCAAGGGGCCTCCCCTTATCACAACACAGCATATGTACAGTATCTGCACCCTCCATCATCGGCATCACACATCAGCAACTCCCAAGTAAGGAAGCCAAGCCGTCATAAATACTACGTAACATTTATCTAATAACTATAATTCCCAGCCAGGTTTATTCACTCTGGGCAACATGTAGAAGCTTTTTTCACCTTTGGTTTGGGGTCTCCATTGACCTTACAGGAGAAGGTGACAGGCATGCCCTCGAAGACTTTGAAGTGTTTGAGCTTCTGATCGAAGGATGGCGCCACCCCCTGGCCAGCAGAGTCTTCGTCGTGCTGCACATCATCATCTGACTCTTCCACCGGAGAACGTTCCAGACGGAACTCGATCTCACTGATCAGGCGCTGCTCGAAGCTGGACACTTTGTATTCCTGAACACCAGAGACAGGAAGAGAAAAATGTGTTATGTAGACTTGGAAAGAGATAATGGAGTTTGTGTGAACACGTGGCAAATATGAACGCGAGTGAGAGTGAGCATTAAAAGCATGTTTGCCCATTTTCAAATGATCTAGGCACCTATTAACCTGCCTTCATTTTCACCCAAACTACCAACTTTCTCAAAAATGTCCTAATTCTCTTCCCAGATGAGCCACTCCTCCGTCCCACCACCTCCATCAATCTGTCACCACCGGAGCTTTGCTGAGGCAGCGGGAACATCTGCAGAGCAGCACAGTCTGATGACACATCACACAGATAATGACAGGCCTCGGGCACAGCTGCAGAGCACAGCATTTCACTCCTCCGCACAGAACCACACGATCACAGAAGTGGACCGTCCTGATCCTCTGAGGTATTATTCTGTCGTAGCTGCTGCAGCGCGTTCCCTCTAACATCTGTGTTCACTGCTTTAAGACTCGCTTGCTCATTTAACCACAAATGCAAAGAAACACTGGCACATGCATTGTGTGACAAACAGGCTGATAAATGCTTGTGTTGCAATCGAGTTTAAACATGCTTCAATATCTGCAGTAAATTCAAACTCGTACTGGACTACATCAAACAGCTAAGGGTGCAGAGATCAGGTTTAAGACACAGAGCAAAGACAGTTTATATAATGTACAAGTTTAAGTCTGTTGTGATCAGAAAAGTGCCAGTGAGTAAACCACACAAACCAGTGGATATGGACAAAAACATATTCCCTATTTTTGTCTATTAAGCTGATATTTGTTCCAGGGTCTGATTGTGTTCAAGACGTGACTTTGTGCAGTGACATTTTACTTGAGTGAATAAAATCCCAGCAGGTGACATAAAAAAACTAAGTTTTAAATAACCTTTTGATGGTAAGATTCTCTATCAGATGACTTGTCTTCCTGTTGAGAGAAAAACACAGGGTGTGTGTGTGTGTGTGTGTGTGTGTGTGTGTGTGTGTGTGTGTGTGTGTGTGTTTCAGTGTGCACATGTTTATTCTTACCTGCTCTCACAACAGAGAATTCACAAGTACATGCTCAACACAGTATGAAGACAAAAGGCCTCAGGATACACTGATGTGTTCTCAGACACAGTCAGTCTGAGAGTTGTGCTGAGAGACATGCAGTGCGGTAGTTCCACAAACAGATTGCTTCTCATGCACAGCGTCATCTCAATAACATTGGTTGATGTGGACAGTACCTGTGTTCTAGTGACGTTTATTATAAGTGAACGTTAGCTTTAGATAGACTTATCAGCCTTCTTCACTGTGAGTGTATAGACTTTGACATTATGACTAATTGTATCTGACTTCACACCATTTCTTAATTGCTTGTTTTTAAGTTGTTATACGGGCTGCTGCACCTTCAAACTTCAATTCTGAGCAACTCTTCGATGCCTCTGAACGATCTCGGCTCAATAATAAGAGGTGATTGGGCCTTTCCATTTGCCGCCTTATAATCTCTGGAACAGTTTACCTCTTCATATCAGAACGGCTCAGATGCTAAATACATTTAAATCGTTGCTAAAGACCCACTTGTTCTCACTGGCTTTTAATTCGGGTTGAGTTTGAGACCTGGATTTCACTGTTCAGCACTTCAGCACACAACTGAACGGTTGTTTAAACATGCTATATAAATTGTCTCAACTTGACAAGTTAACTTGAAACTTAAATCTACTATTATTGATCATCTGGACTAGTTCAAACAGGAGCGGATCCAGGGGTGATGTGGGGCTTTGCTAAAATCTACAGAACTCTCAGTAAACATGGAATGACTTAAATGTGCCCCTTACTGAATCAGGAATTGTTCATGAAAGTTGAACATATAATTGAGTAAATTGTGGCCCTTTATGGACCCTTTTTTTTAAAAATCCTAGATTTGCCACTTCTTACAACATAGCTACATTACAAATACTTTTCACGAAAAGTAAAAATGAGAATTATCATAAAAATTTACAGAAACTGTGAACATAAAAATAAAGGGGCTACTCTTTTTCTTGCCACATTTTGGTGGCTCACAATCTACATGAGCCTTCAAACAGAGTTACTCCTCAACATGTTTGCAGCAACACTGGTTTCTACCAGTTTGCATAAACAGAGATTTAAATGGAGGGCTCTGGAGGTCTTCATAACGGACACTCTCACAACTCGCCCTTCAACAGTATTTACCGGGGACTGAGGGTGGAGGCGCTCTCTGGTTCAACAGTAAATAAAGGAAAGCCACTGCTCATGAGATGAGAACTACACCAGTAAGGAATCAGAAAACAGAAAGGTGCATTGTGTCGTACACATGCATCACTAAAAGTTGTTTGTGTAAAAAAAAAAAAAAAGTGCACACATAGATTGCCTGTGTGATTTCAGGCGAGCTATTTTATCCCCCTCCAGGTGTGTGGATCGTGATGTTGAGCCACCATACCTGTGTTACTGGCTCCTCCTCTGTCTCCTGTGTGTTTAAGACTGTGGCAGCGTTGTCAGCACCCAGCAGTCTGCGAGCCATCTTCTCCTCATAGGTTAACCTCTGGAAGCAGGGATTAATGGGGTCAGTGGGGGGGTTAGTGTGTCAGTTGCAGAACACACACTTGTACACACACATCATCAGCAACAGCTACTGTATCTAAGCCTTTTGTTAATTAGTCAGGGTACAATTTGATTCAAGAGTGCATGAAACATAGACTTGTTTAAAACACTTGGATGGGAGGTAAATTTGTTTTCTTTCATGAAGAGCTGTGTGACTGGTTATTCTGTTAATGACGTCACTGAACACGCTCACTCTCTGTCTGCAAACACACACCTGTCTCAGGGACCTAATAAGGTTAACACACACACACACACACACACACAGACACACACACCTGTTGACCATTGCTTATGCGCTCCTCTTTAAAGCGCAGCTTTCTCTCCAAGTCCTGGATGACGGCGTCCTTGGATCCCTGGATGTCTGAGTCGGAGGCCATGCGTGGCGTCTTGGTGACCGAGGACTTCCTAGGGAACGCTTTGCTGAGGGAGGAAATGCAAACAGAAACATTTGTCAACATAAAAGACGTGGTTATCTCAACTGCTCTTCCCTCTGGAGCTCCTTTGCTCCCTCTCTGACTCCCTCGCATCCACCCTTATCTGGACATGTCCGGCCACAGCATTCCACAACGTGTCTTCTTATCTCACACAACTGCAGCAGGAATGCCAGTAGGAGAGGGGGAGTTCAGGGCTGAGTGAGGGGCTGATGAAAAATTACTGGCAAGGAATTGGAGGTGGAATGTCCTTGATGGAGTAGAGAATAAAATCACTTTTCATTCTCCAGGGCTGCCATCAGAGGAGGAGTAGAACAGATCTTTATCATCTAGTTCAATGGGCACAGCTGAAAATCAAGTGCCAGCTACTCTGCAGGCCATGTCGATGAGGGAGAGATCTTCACACACTGAACATATTAGGCAAACTACAGCGCAGAATGAGTGTTAATTTGATTTTAACACACATTCACTCTGATGTCCTCTTGTGTGGTTTTTTTGCCATATGAGGGCTGAATCTCTTGCAGCTTGAGAGCACTTTTGTGATATGTGTGTGTCTAACCGGGCTCTTTAGTTAAAGTTTTCCTGTAAACACGCTGTATAGAAATGTAAACATGTCATCGTCCATCTTGCAGCAGACATTGAGCCTCCTGCCTCCAGCAGCAGGCAGGTTTATCTGAAGGGGAGCTCTACTCGCCTGAGACTCACTGTGTTTAAAGAACAAGCAATGTGTTATGTAACCTGGCAGACACTGCAAAAGAAAGCACTGTTTATTGACAACGTGTATGTGAGGGATACTTACACAGTGCCATTGCCTTTAGGGAGGCCCAGGGCATTGACCGTAGGACTGCCAGGTGTGGAGGGTGTGGAGGGCAACACTGCGGACAGGAAGCTGGAGGCTGGAGACGCAGGGACGGAGGAGAATGGAGAGGACATATCGGAGTAGGATGGGGACATGGACATGGACATAGGTGGAGGAGGGGGTGGAGGTGGCGGCGGCGGAGGAGGGAAGTCTTGGGCGGGGCCTGTCGGAGAGGACAGGTTACTGGAGCTGAGGAAGGGTGGAGGTGGAGGTGGGAAGGAAGGAGAGCTCGGGGACTCTACGCTGCCGGCCTTTGTGAAAGGAGGCAGTGTGACCCTGCTGAAGGGCTTGTGCGAGGTGGGCGGAGACAAGGGGGAGGACATGCTGGACCCCGAGGAGCCAGACGACTGGGTGACGTAGGCCGCAGCGCCAGGGCTCTGGGCGGCGATGAACTGCTTGGGCCGGGCGTAGTTGAAGGTGCTGGCCTGCATGGTTACACTGCTCTCCAACTCCTGAAAGGAGGGGGGAGGGGGGAGAGGCGGAGATGGCGGAGCAGGTGGAAACACTTCCTGGGGCACTTGCTCTGGTAGGGGCGGGACTTCCTGGCTCAACTGCTCCTGCTGCTGCTGCTGCCAGTTGGCTACTTCCTGCTGTTCCAACAGAATCTGGTCCTGCAGCTGCTTCAGCTGGGATGCGTTCCTGCGAAGAAGAAGCACGGTCGTCAGTGACAGCGATCAGAAACTAAAGAAATCTCATGTTTGCTTAAGGCAGGTTCATTCCTCACGGCAGAGGTGGGGGCTGCTCTGTAACAAAGTAACAGACTTGTAAAAATGCTACAAAAGTATGCGGCTGTTTTCAATTTACGCATGACACCATCATCTGGTCTCTATCCAAATGTAGTCAGAGCACAACTGGCAGAAAGTAGGATGCCAGATGTGAGCATGATGGATGAAGAGTTAAAATGCCAATCAAAGCATTGTGAGGAAAAAACATGGTGTGAAGATGTTCATTATTAAAGACATGTTGCTATTTTTATTTATAGTGAGGATAGTTTTTTAGCTTAATCTGAAAGGACAGATCAAACGAGAAAGAGAGAGAGGACGTTCAGCAAAGGGCACCAAGTCAGAATTGAACCCTCAGCCACATCAGACGACTGTAGCCTCAATACATGCTTTATAAATGCCATCACTACACAGCCATAAATCTGACGTTTACAACAGGCGTTAGAGTCAACTGCTTTCCTCCTGGTCTGAAGGTGGTGGTCTGTGATGTTCAGTCAAAGTAGTAAGAGGTATGTGGACAACTGTGTGTGTGTGTGTGTGTGTGTGTCTATAGTTATGAGGGCTAATTTTGGTTCAATACCATCATTGTGAGGTCATCTTCGCTGGTCCTTACAAATTCAATGGGCTGTTTAAGGGTTAAGACTTGGTTTTAGGGTTACGGTTGAAATAAGGTTAGTGTTAGGCATTTAGTTGTGATGGTTAAGGTTAGGGTAGGGAGCTAGGGAATGCATTATGTCAATGGGTGTCCTCACAACTATACAGAGACATGAATGTGTGTGTGTGTTCAGTGAAGGAAACACTGCACCAGCAGTGTGCACTGATAGGTTATCAGCCTCCACCCTGTAACAAAGACTTGTTAATAAGCCAGCCTGTTGACAATGTGTCAATTACTGTAAAGGAACCAGGAGACGAGTGCAACACTGAGGAAAACCGCTCTGTTCCTGTTGTTAAACAGTTTACACCCGGTGACCTACAACTGGTCTGGTGCAGAGGCCGAGCTCAGATATGATGTTTTTGTACGTGTTGAATCAGGAAAATAGATCCACACGGTTCAGGTGTGGCTCCTTGTATCTGAATAACCCTGTGATGAAAGAAAAACCACAAATGTAATGTCATTGTGTGTTTTTCTTTGCCAGGGATGATGAAGTATTGTGTTTTGTCACAGAGGTGTGGTCGTCCCGCCTACTCCCCTAGCTTGGCTGATTCAGTTGTCACGTCATTGTGGGAGAGAGGGAGGTCGGACGTTTGTGGTGTCATCAGCTCCAAAATCTAAAGTTCCTCTTTGCTCGAATAGCTTTCAGAAAAAAAAAACTTTCTGTGCACTGAGATTTTTTTTTTAAAGAGGACTGTCTTTGAAAACCACAAGAGAAGAAGTGAACACTCAGACGCTCTCCTCGAGGACCGAGATGAGGACTCGGGTCTCTGGGAAAGCTTGGAGTTATAAACCTTCAGAGTATACAGCTATGTGTGAGCTCTTCATAGGCAGCCTATTCAGAATATACTGTATGTCTCAGTGGTGCATGTTGTCAGGAGTCTACCAAGTTCACGCGCCCTAATCTTTTCCAGATGTGGAATAATCAGTGGACTACTTTTTTCCTTGCCATAATGCCCTCCTCATACATTTGCAAACAACACTAGTGACTACATAACAAAGCGTACCGCTCTAGCATTGTGTAACAATCTAACAGCAGCAACGTTACTGATTGGTCTGTCCTCGCTCGCCAAAAATCTAAAAACTCAATAATTCAGAATCATGTACTGTGATCATCCTTCCTAGATTCACTGAAAGCTGCATGGCCGATTCTCATCCCATACGTTTTGCTTCACTCTTCCCAGAGGTCTCCCCTTCGGGCCTCCACCAAAAGAGTGCTTTTACAGGAATAGTTTGGCAGCAGCCCGCTCTGCAGCGGTTTGATTCCTTTTTTGGCTGTGTTCTCTCAGTGTCAGGCAGAAGCACCCTGCCCGTCTGCTCCAGCAGAGAGGAAACACACTTGAATTTCCTTAAGGCCTCATCCCTCTTGAGCCGACAGGCGGCTTGACTGCCTCACCATGAGAGAGCTCAGGGACCTTTTACCCTTGTTTTAGACACCTTTCCTCACGCTGTATCGTACTTCAGAAGTTAGTTTTCCCATGATTCATCTTTCTTTGAGTATGTAAGTTGAGGGCGAGTAGATGGTATCCAGTTAACCCTTTCTATATAAAACAATTACAGTTAAACAAGCACATACATTAATTACGAAGACACTCTGCTGTGTAGCATCATCTCATTTCTCTCTCTTCGTACAGTCAAGAAATCCCTTATTGAAGGGACACTTTCAAGTCATCCATCCACATTAGAAATTCACTGACATGACATTTAAATGAAAATGTCAGCTTGTGTTGTTTACAGCTGCATGACCAGTTTTATGGCCCACTAAAAAGAGAGTCATGAGGGGTGTCATGCTCACTCTGACCCTGCAGAGTTGCTGCCTCTGGCCTCTCATCGTCCAGATTGATCTGACCTCACGGAGCAGGACGAGGCCGCTGTACGTTTACCGTGTCCCACTGTCTTATCTGTGTCCGTCCACTGAAACACAACAGCCCCCTGCTAAAACCCCTGCATGGGATTATAATGTACCAACAAATGCCTCTTGAGGCAGAGCAGGCCTCCTCCAGGCCTCCATCACTCTCTCCTACTCTTTGTCTCTGCGGTGGCGAGAGGCTGAATTAGGAGGAGTGTTCCTCTGTCGCCATGCCAACGGCGCTGTGTTTTGCCGTTCTGGTCCGAGCCAACTGGCCCACAGAGCACGGCGCTTCGGCTCCTCTGTCATTCCAAATGTAACACAGTATTACTTTAATTTCTCTCCCTCTCTCTCTCATTGCCTCTCTTTTTTTTGCCCCAACGTTTGATGGTATAAATAGGTTAAGTCTTCCTTCTTTCATCCTGAAAAACACTGGATCCTGTCTGTCATTCTTTGGTAGGGGGGAAAAGGGGAGAAGGGGAGAAAAGGCAAAGAGGGATCAGGTCTGGAGGAACTTTGTCTCCCTGGTTTCTACATGGAAACATTCAATAAACAGAGCCGGGAACAGCTTGACAGTAACTTAATTGGAAATGTATTTTACAGCCTTGTGATGTATAAGACGTGCCAGACACAGTGGGACTTTACAGGCAGCATCTTGCTTTAATAAACAAAGACCTCAACATGTGAAATGGCCGTGTTTGCTCAGCGCCACTTTGTTTGTGCTTCCTGAAAAGTAAAAAAAAAACCTGGGGTGCATGCGTGAGAAATTCATCCACTTTTCCACCTCCCATTGGAGCAAGCTGTGAGCCATCCGCTGTCTTATCTGCCACCCATCTCCTCCTCAGCTCCGCATCTGGCTAAAAAAGACAGGGCCGTTTTATTAGAGTCGGCCAGCTGATGACAGGAAGAGTGCGCAGAGGGGGGTGCAGGAAGTTGTTGAATGTACATCACCGCTAATGAGAGGTTTCCTTCTGTAAACAACAACATGAGGGGAACTGAGGCTGTGCATGTTTCTGTTTAAAAGTCCGTAGGTGTGTATAAACAAGAAGAGGTGAGATTAGAAGCCAAGAACAAGGCATCCCCTGGACTGTGCAGCAACGTGAAGAAGGAAAGACTTTAAGGGGGGGGGGGGGGGCTTCTGGCTACTTTCACGCTATAGGCTCATTGTGTGTTTGCATTACACCTCTGTATATTTGTTGCCACAAACACCTGCAGTTGAGATACAGCACGACCTTGACGTTTGTAAATGATTTACATCCAAATAATCACATTGAGCTGCAGTATCACACCTACAAGGCAAACACAGCCATGTAGAAACCTGTCTGAGATCATTACACACACGCACGCACACACACACACACATAATGCTTGACGCTCAGAGTTTAAACCACCATGGCTCTATGGGAAAACATAGATTTACCTCTCCAATCATTACACACCAATCCTTTTTTTGCCCCTTCACACACCTGGTCCTCTCAGAACATTGCATCATCACAACAATGCGTTGATGCCCCCAAGCAGGAACACACCGTCATTGACTGAGCTGGTGTCTGAATGACTATCAGGCCGCTAGGCGATGAGTAAGATGTAGCTGTGTGTTGATTTGGACAAAGGTTGAAGTCCCATCTGATACACACCTGACTGATCTGTGACTGGACACGTCTCATGTTGTGACTTTTCTACACCCTAACTGGCAAATGTGTGATTTTTATGACATCAATCAATTCAACTGTATCTCTCTCTCTCTCTTTCACACACACACACACACTCACACACATGCACTCACACACACACTCACCCACAGCTCTTACTACCCTCCTTCTCTCAGTGTGCGCCTCCCTCATCTTCGTCAAGAAAAAAATAGATGAGGTGGAGGAGTCGCTGCAGGTTTCCACCAATGTTTCAACATAATCTAACAGACTCTGACCCCAAAAAGTCACACACACACATCAAAAGTTGTATTCCTTGTGTTTTTTTTCTTTTCCCTTCATGCACTCCTTCCCTGTCAGCTGACATGTTCTCTCTCGGCCTTTGTTCTCCTCCAGTCCTTAACTTATTTTCAACCCCTCTCCTCCCTGGGTACCCCATCCCCCTTTCTCCCCCTTTCCCCTCGTTCTTTTTGGCTCTAATTGCACACACACCACATAAAACAGAACCAGACTGTTTTCCTTTCCCCCCCTCGCTTTTAAAATGTAGCACAGACCATTTTCCTTTTTAGCAGCACCAACAGCTCACGGCTGCACTGTTCACCCACTTTCTCTCTGTCCTACTTTCTTTCTTTCCTTATTCCTATACATTCCCTCCCGCTCTCTACCAGGGCTCATATTTCATATTCAAGTGGAGCGAAGAGGGCTCTCCACAATCACTGAGCCCTGCTTTTCTCTCTATACCTCCATCCATCCATCCCTCCCTCATC